ATAGATATCCATTCCGTAAAAAAGCACTCTGTACAGGAGCTGGAGTCGTGTATCACTGGGGCGGGGTCTGCAGGAGTCATCTACTTCAGCTTGGGCTCCGTCGCTCGAAGTATGAGCATACCAGCCCAGTACCACAAAATCTTCGTCCAGGCCTTCCGCAGGCTGCCGCAGCGCATCCTCTGGAAATACGAAGGAGACCTAGATGACCTTCCTGAAAACGTAATCATCAGCAAGTGGTTTCCCCAGCAGGATGTTCTTGGTAAGTCTTTGCTGCACAACCATTCAGAATATTGTCTTAGCTTGCGGTTGGTTTACACTTGGTAATAATAAAAAGTCATGATGTCGGCACTAAAGTAAGCTGGCTTCCAATTAGTATGTCGGAGCTATACGTTAATTACAGCACTTTGAATTTAACACAGCATTCCTTATATTTATTATATATATATATATATATATATATATATATATATAGTATATATATATATATATATATATATATATATATATATTATATATATATATATATATATATATATATATAGATATATATATATATATAGATATATATATATATATATATATATATATATATATATATATATAATTTATATATATATGTATATAAATATATATATATATATATATATATATATATATATATATATATATATATATATATAGATATATATATATATATATATAATTTAATATATATGTATATATATATATATATATATATATATATATATATATATATATATATATATATATATATATATATATATATATATGTATATATATATATATATACTATATATATATATATTATATATATATATATATATATATATCTATATATTATATATATATATATATATATATATATATATATATATATATATTTATATACATATATATATAAATTATATATATATATATATATATATATATATATATATATCTATATATATATATATATCTATATATATATATATATATATATATATATATCAACACAAGACAGAACAGAAACAATGGGTATTGAATAGAAGTGTTTGTAGAAAGCCTATTGGTCCATATTTCTTGATGCTTCTATATTGGAGCGGAGTCTTGAGGTGGGTAGAATATAGTTGTGCAATAATTGGCTGTTGATTGCTGGTGTTGACTTCTTGATGTGTAGTGCCTCGCAAACGTCAAGCCGCCTGCTATCGCTGTATCTATCGATGATTTCTGTGTTGTTTACTAGGATTTCTCTGGCGATGGTTTGGTTATGGGAAGAGATTATATGTTCCTTAATGGAGCCCTGTTGTTTATGCATCGTTAAACGCCTAGAAAGAGATGTTGTTGTCTTGCCTATATACTGGGTTTTTTGGAGCTTACAGTCCCCAAGTGGGCATTTGAAGGCATAGACGACGTTAGTCTCTTTTAAAGCGTTCTGTTTTGTGTCTGGAGAGTTTCTCATGAGTAGGCTGGCCGTTTTTCTGGTTTTATAGTAAATCGTCAGTTGTATCCTCTGATTTTTGTCTGTAGGGATAACGTTTCTATTAACAATATCTTTTAGGACCCTTTCCTCTGTTTTATGAGCTGTGGAAAAGAAGTTCCTGTAAAATAGTCTAATAGGGGGTATAGGTGTTGTGTTAGTTGTCTCTTCGGAGGTTGCATGGCTTTTCACTTTCCTTCTTATGATGTCTTCGATGAAACCATTGGAGAAGCCGTTATTGACTAGGACCTGCCTTACCCTACAGAGTTCTTCGTCGACTTGCTTCCATTCTGAGCTGTGGCTGAGAGCACGGTCGACGTATGCGTTAACAACACTCCTCTTGTACCTGTCAGGGCAGTCGCTGTTGGCATTTAGGCACATTCCTATGTTTGTTTCCTTTGTGTAGACTGCAGTGTGGAAACCTCCGCCCTTTTCCATGACTGTTACATCTAGAAAAGGCAGCTTCCCATCCTTTTCCGTCTCGTAAGTGAAACGCAGCACGGAACTCTGCTCAAATGCCTCCTTCAGCTCCTGCAGAGGTTCCAAGGGTTGTTATAGCCGGGGGGAAGGGTTGTAGAGATAAGCTCCCACAGCCTGTAAAGTGCCCCTGATGGCGTGCGTCTCAAATAGCCTCTGACAACCAAGTCCAGCTCCTGGCCTGCACGTGTGGCTTAGCCTCTAGGCCTGGCGGAACTGCTTCTACCAACAGGAGAAGGGGCGAAGGCGGGTCTCTGGCGCCTTAAAACCAGTTGCTTCGGGCAGATGGGACTCGTTAGCCTGGAAAGGCAGCTCATCTAGGGGAAGGAAAACCCCGAATTCAAACCTCTGCTGTCTTGTGGCTAAACCCACTCATGGGAAAGACTTCGGGAGTCAACCCTGAGGAAAAATCCGGAGTCGGAGTCCCTAAGGCAGTTTGCAGCTGTTTACAGCTACATTCTGGCAACTCCTGCGACGACACTGGTGCCAAGCGTATCGGCGCCTGCCCTTCCCTTGGATCACATCGGTGGCGTGGAGAGGGTGGATCTGCTGCATGGGCAACAGCTGATCCTCCATAATTACTGCCCAGGCCTGTGCCCTGGAGAGGACACTCCAGCATCGCCTTGGCGATGGCTCAACACGGGAAGTGACAGTTACCGGTGATAAGCCTACCACTCAATTGGCGTAGAGTAAGGCGCCAGGGGTTGCTTCCGTCGGTGGGAGAAATCATCCGATTTCATAGGACAGCTACCGCCCGCCTCAAGCTGGGCAGCCCCCAGCCAATAAGGTGCTGTCCCGCCACGGTCCGCCTGCTCCACTGGGTGCGTGGGGCTTAGGCCACAATCCAATAAGCGGATCGTCAACCCATGCACCAGGCAAAAGAAAACAAACACAGAGCCACCCAGCTCTCAAACTGGGCACATGGAATGTAAGGACCATGACACCGGGTCTCTCGGAAGATCTACTGGAAGTGAACGACGCCCGCAAGACAGCTGTGATCAACAATGAACTGCGCAGGCTCCAGATGGACATAGTCGCCCTGCAGGAGACACGTCTGCCCGCAACCGGCAGCATACGGGAGAAGGACTTTACCTTCTTCTGGCAGGGCAAACCACCAGAAGAGGTAAGGGAGCATGGCGTTGGCTTTGCCATCAGGAACAGGTTGTTAGGGTCCATAGTACCGCCTATGGAGGGGTCTGCAAGGATCATCAAACTTCAGCTTCATACAGCAGTAGGAATGGTCAGCCTCATCAATGCCTATGCACCAACACTGACCTCCTCTACCGAAGCGAAGGACAAGTTCTATGATGACCTCGGCCTAGCTCTCAGAGACATACCTCAACAAGAGCCAGTCTTCCTCCTGGGAGATTTTAATGCAAGAGTTGGTTCTGATCACAGCTCTTGGCCTTCCTGCCTGGGCCAGTTTGGATTTGGGAAGATGAATGAGAGTGGGCAGCGCCTCCTGGAGTTCTGCTGCCGTCATGATCTCTGCATCACCAATTCCTTCTTCGACACCAAGCCCCAGCATAAGGTTTCCTGGAGACATCCCAGGTCTAAGCATTGGCACCAACTCGACCTGGTGCTTACGGGGCGTAACAATCTGAGAAATGTCAAACTGACCCGCAGCTTCCAGAGCGCAGATTGCGACACCGACCACTCTCTCGTCGTTTGCAGAGTAAAGTTCCAGCCCCGGAAAATCCACAGAGCAAAGAAGGAGGGAAGACCACGCATTAACGTAAACAAGACCCGTGACCTTCACAAGGTGGAGGAATTCACTGCGGCGCTGGTAAATGCCCTTCCTGTACCACCCTGCGATAGCGCAAGTGAGAGGTGGTTACATCTCAGGGGCACTATTTTCAACACTGCCATGTCCACCTTCGGTAAGAGGCAGAACAAGTCAGCAGATTGGTTCGAGGCCAGTGCAGAGGAACTGTTACCCCTCGTAGAGGAAAAGAGACGAGCTCTCTCATCCTACAAGAACCTGCCCTCAGAAAGGAACCTACAGGCCCTCCGTACTGCCCGCAGTAGAGTTCAACAAACTGCGAGGCGTTGTGCTAACGATTACTGGCTTCGACTCTGTTCCAGCATCCAGACTGCGGCCACTGTCGGCAACATAAGAGGCATGTACGAAGGGATCAAACAGGCAACAGGCCCTACACAAAACCGGACGGCTCCTCTAAAGTCAGCCACTGGAGAGATCATTAAAGACCGTGATCAACAGATGAATCGCTGGGTGGAACATTACTCCGAACTCTACTCCAGAGAGAACTTGGTCAGCGTAGAGGCTTTGGATGCAATTGAATGCCTGCCCATCATGGAAGAACTTGATCTTGAACCAACTGTGGAAGAAGTTGAGAAAGCAGTGGATTCACTTTCCTCAGGGAAGGCCCCAGGAGACGACGGGATTCCGCCTGAAGTTCTCAAGTGCGCTCGTGGAACACTTAAATCTGAGCTTCATGAACTTCTGTGCCAGTGCTGGAGGGAGGGCTCGGTGCCACAAGACATGAGAGATGCAAACATCATCACTCTCTACAAAAATAAAGGTGACAGAAGCGATGTAAACAACTATCGCGGCATATCCCTCCTCAGCGTCGTTGGCAAACTCTTCGCTAGGGTCGTTTTGGTCAGGCTTCAGATTCTTGCCGAAAGAGTGTACCCCGAGTCACAGTGTGGTTTCCGAGCAGAGAGGTCGACCACTGACATGGTGTTCTCCCTGAGACAGCTTCAAGAAAAGTGCAGGGAGCAGAGAAAAGCCTTGTACATTGCCTTCATTGACCTTACAAAGGCCTTCGACCTCGTGAGTAGGGACGGACTCTTCAAGATCTTGGCCAAAATTGGCTGTCCACCCATCCTACTCAGCATGATACAATCGTTCCACAAGGACATGAAGGGGACAGTCGTGTACGACGGCTCAACTTCTGAACCATTCAACATTAACAGTGGTGTTAAACAGGGGTGTGTTCTTGCTCCAACCCTGTTCGGCATCTTCTTCGCGATCCTCGTCAAGCATGCCTTTGGAACAACCACAGAAGGCATCTATCTCCGTACAAGATCTGATGGAAAGCTCTATAATCTATCCAGACTCCGAGCAAAGACAAAAGTACAGATGCGAATCCTCAGGGAGTTCCTCTTCGCCGACGACGCAGCGATCACCACACACACAGCAGAAGGCCTGCAGCAGCTACTCAACCGCTTTGCCGCAGCCTGTTCCGCATTCGGCCTGACAATCAGCCTGAAGAAGACACAGGTGATGGGACAAGATGTCAATGAGCTACCCTGTATAAATATAGCAGACTATGTGCTGGAGGCAGTTCACGAGTTTGTGTACCTGGGCTCCACAATCTCAGACACCCTTTCCCTGGACACTGAGCTCAACAGGCGTATCGGGAAGGCCGCAACAACACTGGCCAGGCTCACAAAGCGCGTTTGGGAAAATGCCAAACTGACAGTGCACACCAAGGCACAAGTCTACATGGCATGTGTGGTGAGTACACTTCTCTACGGCTCGGAATCCTGGACCCTGCGCTCTCGCCAGGAGAGACGGCTTAATACCTTTCACATGCGGAACCTGAGACGCATCCTTGACATCACGTGGAAAGACCACGTCACCAACAACACTGTACTCGAGAGAACAGGAGTCCCTTCAATGTTCACTCTCCTGAAACAGAGACGCATGCGATGGCTGGGACATGTCACACGCATGGTCGATGGCCGCATACCGAAGGACCTCTTGTATGGAGAACTGGCATCAGGAAGGAGACCCACCGGAAGACCTCAGCTGCGTTTCAAAGATGCCTGCAAACGCGACCTCAAGCAGATGAACATCGACATCAACACTTGGGAGGCAGCAGCTGCGGACAGATCTGCCTGGAGATGTAAAGTGCAGAAGGGACTCCAGCAATTCGAGGATGAACTGAAGAGGCAGGCGGAGGATAATAGATTTCAGAGGAGGTCTCGACCACTGTCAGACGCACCCGCTTCGGCGTTTATCTGCGCTCGCTGCAGTCGAGACTGTCATTCTCGGGTTGGCCTTCACAGCCACAGCAGGCGCTGCATCCAACTAGACTACAACAACTAGACACCCAGGGCACAACTCCATAACCCCACGGGATTGACGGATGCCTACTAATTAATATATTTTCTCTATTTTTTTTCTTATGAAATGATAAAGCTACCCATTTCATTATGTATGAGGTCAATTTTCTTTTATTGAAGTTAAAATTAGCGTAGATATATGACCGAACCTAACCAACCCTACCTAACCTAACCTATCTTTATAGGTTAGGTTAGGTTAGGAAACCGAAAAAGTTAGGTTAGGTTAGGTAGTCGAAAAACAATTAATTCATGAAAACTTGGCTTATTAGGCAAATTGAGCCTTGCATAGTAGGCTGAGAAGTGCATTCTGGCTACTAGGTACGACATATATATATATATATATATATATATATATATATATATATATATATATATATATATATATATATATATATATATATATATATATATGTTGTACCTAGTAGCCAGAACGTCGTACTCGGCCTACTATGCAAGGCCCAATTTGCCTAATAAGCCAAGTTTTCATGAATTAATTATTTTTCGAGTACCTAACCTACCTAACCTAACCTAACCTAACTTTTTCGGCTACCTAACCTAACCTAACCTATAAAGATAGGTTAGGTTAGGTAGGGTTGGTTAGGTTCGGTCATATATCTACGTTAATTTTAACTCCAATAAAAAAAAATTGACCTCATACATAATGAAATGGGTAGCTTTATCATTTCATAAGAAAAAAATTAGAGAAAATATATTAATGCAGGAAAACTTGGCTTATTAGGCAAATCGGGCCTTGCATAGTAGGCTGAGAAGTGCGTTATTGCTACTAGGTACGACATGTATATATATATATATATATATATATATATATATATATATATATATATATATATATATATATATATATATATATATATATATATATATATATATATATATATATATATATATATATATATATATATATATATATATATATATATATATATATATATATATATATATATATATATGCGGAAAATCCACAGAGAAATATGAAAGGACGTGAACGTTTCGGCTTGTTAAAGCCTTTGTCAACACCAGACTGACTGATTAAACATGTGATTAAACAAACATGCATTAAACACGAATTTTTTCAATATTTCTTAGGTTTCTTTTCACTGTCGATGGTAATTGAAAAATCAAATCTCCAAAATTAATTTTTATTTCTAGTCTGACGCGACGCTTGAACGCGTTTCGTAATAACTTATTACATTTTCAAAGACTTTAGTTTACACACACACAACTGTAACCTGAAAACACTAAACAGAGTTTTACTTAATGCTAACATTGAACAGTTTGTCTTATGTACTCGCATTTGGGTGAGGTGATGTGTTGCAACAGTTTTGGATGAGATGAACAAACTTTTGACCAACACAAGACAGAACACGGTGCAATGGGTATAAATTGTATAAATGAGGGGGAAGAATGGAAGTAACTGCAAAGGGCCTATTGGCCCATACTTCCTCTTGGTGCTTCTATATTGGTACGGAGTCATGAAGTGGGTAGAATATAGTTGTGCATTAATTGGCTGTTGATTGCTGGTGTTGACTTTTTGATGTGTAGTGCCTCGCAGATGTCAAGCCGCTTGTTATCGCATTATCTATCAATGATTTCTGTGTTGTTTGTTAAAACTTCTCTGGTGATGGTCTGGTTGTGAGAAGAGATTATATGTTCCTTAATGGTGCCCTGTTGCTTATGTACTGTTAATCGCGTGGAAAGAGATGTTGTTGTCTTGCCTATATACTGAGTTCTTTTGGGGCTTACAGTCCCTAAGTGGGCATTTGAAGGGATAGACGACATTGATCTCCTTTAAGGCGTTCTGCTTTGTGTCTGGAGAGTTTTTCATGAGTAGGTTGGCCGTTTTTTTGGTTTTATAATAAATCGTCAATTTTATCTTCTGATTTTTGTCTGTAGGGATAACATTCCTATCAACAATATCTTTCAAGACCCTTTTCTCCATTTTATGATATGTGGAAAAGAAGTTCCTGTAAAATAGTCTAATGGGGGGGGGGGTACAGGTGTTGTGATAGTTGACTCTTCAGAGGTTGCATGGCGTTTCACTTTCCTTTTTATGATGTTTTCAACGAAACCGTTGATGAAGCCGTTGTTGACTAGGACCTGCCTTACCGTACAGAGTTCTTCATCGACTTCCTTCCATCCTGAGCTGTGGCTGAGAGCACAGACGACGTAAGCATTGACAACACTCCTCTTGTACCTGACTGGGCAGTCACTGCTGGCATTGAGGCACAATCCTATGTTTGTTTCCTTACTGTAGACTGCAGTGGGGAAACCTCCGCTCCTTTCCATGACTGTTACATCTAGAAAGGGCAGCTTCCCATCCTTCTCCATCTCGTAAATGAAATTCAATACAGAATTCCGCTCAAATGCCTCCTTCAGCTCCTGCAGACGTCTGACATCAGGTACCTGTGTACAAATGTCGTCAACATACCTGCAGTATATGGCAGGTTTCAAGTTCATGTCAAGTAAGACTTTCTGTTCGATGGTACCCATGTAGAAGTTCACAAACAAGACACCTAGGGGTGAACCCATGGCGACCCCATCTACTTGCATATACATGTGCCCATCCGGGCTCAAGAAGAGTGCCTCAAAGCCTCAAAGAATTCAGTATATAGGCCAGACAACAACATCTCTTTCCAGGCGATTAACGATGCATAAGCAACAGGGCTCCATTAAGGAACTCATAATCTCTTCCCACAACCAGACCATCACCAGAGAAGTCTTAACAAAAAACACGGAAATCATCGATAGATACAGCGATAGCAGGCGGCTTGATATCTGCGAGGCACTACACATTAAGAAGTCGACACCAGCAATCAACAGCCAATTAATGCACAACTATATTCTACCCACTTCAAGACTCTGCACCAATATAGAAGCATCAAGAAATATGGGCCAATAGGCCCTTTGCAGTTACTTCCATTCTTCCCTTTAACTTACAAAATATTATACCCATTGTTTCGTATTCTGTCTTGTGTTGAAAGTTTGTTTTCTCCTCATCCAAAACTGTTGTAACATATCACCTCACCCAAATGCCTCAAAAGCAAAGCTGTTTAAACTCTGTTTAGTGTTTGCAAGTTGTGTGTGTGTAAACTAAAGTCTTTGAAAATGTAATAAGTTATGATGAAACGCGTTCAAGTGTCGTGTCAGACTAGAAATAAAAATGAATTTTGGAGAACTGATTTTTCAATTACTATCAACAGTGAAAAGAAATATAAGAAATATAGAGAAAATTCGTGTTAGAATTATTAATCTTACTTTTTCGGTCATATTTAATAATATATGTCTACAGGAAAGACTGCTACCAAAATATACTAATATGTATATATATATATATATATATATATATATATATATATATATATATATATATATATATATATATATATATATATATATATATATATATATATATATATATATTTATATATATATATATATTATGATTGAGGGATCCTCATTCTAAAAAAATGCAGCATATGCAGCACTAGGGGGACCTTGTGCTGCATATCCATCTTTCTCTTTTGTATTTGTTCCACATAGTCTTCTATCACTCCCTTTCATATTTTTAATTTTAACTTTATTTCACAAGATGGTTGCAACATAGCTTATTTAGAGAGTTTGACAGATGACAAAATATAATTCAAATTTTCAAATTGCTTAATGCTTCAGACGTAATTTTTTTCTCAATTCTTAGATCATAATTTATGTTTTCACCGGTCAAAACTGAAAAAAAATATCTGGCCTTTCTTAGAGGGGCAAATACAGTTGTGCAGAATCTCTTTAAATATTAATGTACAAGTAGCTTGCCCTGGTATTATCCTTGTGTTCCACAGCCCACCACAATGTGAAGGTGTTCATCACCCACGGTGGCCTCCTCAGTCTGCAGGAGGCCGTCTACCACGCCACGCCGCTCCTCGCAATACCCATATACGGAGACCAGCCCAAGAATGGCATGTTTGTGAGAAACTCCGGACTAGGGGACTTTCTGGAGTGGGAGAACCTAACTGAGGACCTAATTGTCAACACTCTCACCGATATTATTAATAACACAAGGTTAGTCAGATTATTATTTTTTTACTATTTCTGGTATCTGTCCTACTCAAAAATTTCAATTCTGAGAGAGCAGATCATTAGCGAAGTTGACAAAGACTAAAATAACGCTGATGGAAGACCTACGAAGATTTAAAATATGAGCCTATCAAACAATTATCATAAAAATTATGTGGAAAATTTCCACAAAAATTATAGCATAACATGTTTGAGTAACATGATCTATGAAAGCATATGGACCAGGCATGGTTATTTATAGAAAAAAACCAGCTCTCCCAAGACAGAGAAAGAGTCTAGTCAGCATAATTCGACCATTTTGTGAACACCATCCCAAGGAGCATCTTTAATGAATCCATACTAGGATATGTAATTACATCTAATAGCTATAAGCATATCATGGTAATACTCAAAATAAACGCACATGCTCAAAAAATAATTGTTTATCTAGATACATTTGGTTACCGATAACAATAAACCGCCCTGGGGGGTGACTGTAAACATCGCTCCTCAACCTTATTAGGGCATTCCACAATGGATCTCCTGGTTCAACCCTGACGACGAGCGGATGTCTGGACACCATCTTCGCCTGGGAGCCGCCAGATCACATTCCGTTTTCGCATTTTGGATTTGATACTGCTGTTTGGAATCCTTATTCAACGGTCCGGATGGATGACACCTGGCGCACATATCGCCTTGGGTCACAGGATTGTTGATAGATTATTTTTCACGTGTACTGGTTGGTTCTACCGGCGTGGTGACGGTGTCCAGCGCCGCCTTAGCCGAGAGGTACCAAGTTGGTGGGTCTTGATGGGCTCCTGGTGTGCCCTCAGCCTGGTGGGCGGTTGGCTTCTGCTCTGCCGGAAGGCTCATGATGACTTTTGCGTTTTAGTTGGAGGCCGAGTATTTAGTTTTGCTACCCAGTGTTCTCTGTGTGGGGGTGGGGTCGGTACTTGTCACGCTGAGTGACTCTTGAGGCTCCCCAGTCATATATTGTTAACGTGTCGCTTTCCTTTGGCCTTGAGTAATGGGAGGTAGTCAAACAATGGAGGTACTACGTTAATGATACTGTAGCTCCTTCTTGAGGTTATCTTGAGATGATTTTGGGGCTTTTTTTAGTGTCCCCGTGGCCCGGTCCTCGACCAGGCTTCCACCCCCAGGAAGCAGCCCGTGACAGCTGACTAACACCCAGGTACCTATTTTACTGCTAGGTAACAGGGGCATAGGGTAAAAGAAACTCTGCCCATTGTTTCTCGCCTGTGCCCGGGATCGAACTCGGGACCACAGGATCACGAGACCAGCGGGCTGTCTGCTCGGCCGACCGGCTCCCTCGCTGCAGGTCTTCACTCCCCTCTACTCGGGTGCCGCTATCCACCCAGGGAGCTCTCCAAGTCTTGCCTCAAGTCTGGTCTCTGTCCACTGTTTATTAACCATGGACTCACAGGGGAAGAAAAGAAGGTCCAGCTCACATTGCGGGTCCTTGACCCTACCGTGCGAAACACCTCCACCGGACCTGCCCACCGAGAAACATACAAAATGGATGTTAAACCCTCCGGCCTAACCTGTGTTCTTCTCCCTCTTCTCGCTGGTCGCCAGCTGGATAACTCGTCTTAGCGTCCCAGCAATGATTTATTTCAAACTATTACAATGATGCTACTCAGTGATGCCTTCTATTACTATTAATGTTAGTGTGGTGCAATCTAGTATCATTTCTCTGTACTATTGCTCAAATGAGATGGAGCGCTCACAGAAAGTCATTGGTAAAAATCACAAGATTTACTGAAGAAAAGTCTACACGAAACATGTAGACAAAACAGATAAAGAATATATATATATATATATATATATATATATATATATATATATATATATATATATATATATATATATATATATATATATATATATATATATATATATATATATGTATGTATGATGACAGCAACGCTCCTGTGGACGCCGCCGGCAACTAGAATCGACTGGGCGAGTCGAACGGATCTCTGCCGCTCCTTTCTTCGTGCAGCTTCCGTCAACGTAGACACACAGTCCAACCGTCTCTGCCAAAAACGCCACCCACACACTTCACCAGGCAGTAGATAATAAACTTCTGCTGACCTACAGTCTAACCAAATCCTACAATATCAATAGAAACAGTAATAGATATCTGTATATACTACTAAGCCTATCTTGTCTAAATATTAAGGGGAAAATGGGAGGGAAAATTGATCTACCTTAACTTATCCTGCCCTCTGACGTCTGGACTCCTATGGTCGTAGTGGTCCACGGTTCTTGGGTCGCTCCTCGGCATTCCGGTCGCTTGTCACAGGTGCTGAGGCGTCATGAAGCTACGTGTCATCGCTGTCCTCATTCCCAAATTTGCCGTTCTTCCGAGCTTTCACGGCCAGTGGTCGCTGCACTCATCGTCTCCCTCCCTCCATCGCTCCTTCACTGAGACCAAATACTCATAGATCCGAATGCGATGTATCCCTTCCGAGTTCCCAGTAGACGTGACCCGGTCACAACAGCTCTGAATACGACGGGGTTCTGCTGGAGAAGAGCCACTTACTGCTCCTGCTGAGTCTCCACTCTCGACTCAACTCAAAAGTAACAGCTCACAGTCCTAGGCGTCTCTTCACTACTGGACCTCGGCTTCCCTGTGCTCCTCACGAGCACCATAGTCCTCTACAATCACAAAAAGATATTTCAGGCTGTGTTAATCCACTGGACGAGGCTCCTATACCTCTGAACTCAGGAGCTCACTAGCTCACATCCGCTCGCAATGAAGTGCCGTGAATCTCTCTCTCCATCTGGGGCTCTGTAAGCCCTCAGCCGTGCTTGCCCAGTGACATCACAGACCCAGAGGCAGGCTCTCATTGGTCAAACTCGTCACGTGTCAGCCGTGCTTGCCCAGTGACATCACAGACCCAGGGGCAGGCTCTCATTGGTCAAACTCGTCACATGACATCTGCCAGTCAATCACCAGACGGCTGGCACCATCACATTTTGGCGCACATTTGATCGGCCCGTCGGCATTTTGTAGGTACTAATGGCATAAGCCCCCCCCCCCCTTGTAAGCGTATTTCCTTTTCCGTCTTTTGTCCCCAAATAATTATTCATGCTAGGCGTCACCTATTTCAAATGACTTCTTGTACCTCAGAGAATCTGCAGGATGTAGTAATATGACTTCTTGCAGGATGAGGGAAGATATTGGAGAGGGCACCATAACACACCCCTCCTTCTAAAATAAGAGTCACATAGTTTTAGCACACTCGAGAAAGGGCATCTGCTATCACATTTTCCTTTCGCTTGATGTGTTTAATCGTAAACGAAATCTCCTCCAAGAGCAAAGACTTCCTCGTCAGTCTTAGGCTTGAGTTCTTCATTTTGTATACAAGCATTAAGGGGTTATGATCGGTGAACTCCTGCACCGGCCTAGTACCTTCTCGCACCAAAGCGTCAAAATGCTTCAAAGACATAATTAAGGCTAATGCTTCTTCTTTCTCTACCGTACTGTAAGCTTGTTGATACTTCTCGAAGTTTTTCGTGTAGTAAGCTACTGGTCGGTTTACTTCGTTTCTTTCCTGGGCCAACATGGCACCTATTCCCACATCGATAGCATCAACGTATAAAATGAAACCTGCTTCGAAATCAGAAGAGATCAATACTGGGGCTTCTGTAAGTAATCTTTTCGTGTTCTCGAATGACTCTTGGCAAGCATCCCCCCACTTCCATCTAATATTATTAGACAATAATTCTGTCAGAGGGTGTACCACCGTCGAGAAATTCTTACAAAAATCTCCTGTAGTAGCCTATCATACCCAGGTAGCGTAGCAGCTTTTTCCTCGTCTTGGGACTCGGATATTCCTTAATAGTCACCACCTTCTGATCAACCGGATCAACCTCTCCTTGGCCTACGACAAAGCCTAAATACTCCAAACGTGCTTTCCCGAACTCACTTTTAGCCAAATTGATTGTGAGGTTCGCCTCCTCCAATCTTCCGAATAATTCTTTCAGTCGACTCACATGTTCTTCCCAATTGTGGGCATATACCACAATGTCGTCGATGTATACTGTGCAGTCTTCAGCTCCTCGCAGTACCTCGTTCATCAACCTTTGGAAGAAACTCCTGCTGTTCTTCACACCAAACGGAAGTGCTTTGTACTGGAACTAGCCATTCATTGTAACAAAAACAGAGATCTTCATTGCACTCGGAGATAAGGGTATCTGGTAATAACCTTTCAATAGGTCGACCTCTGAAACGTTCTCGGCATTTCCCACCTGGTCGACACAATCGCTTACTCGAGGCATATGGTGAGAGTCTGACACGGTAATGGAGTTTACTTTCCGATAATCCGTACTAAAATGGTATGATTCATCACCTTTCTTCACTAACACACAGGGCGAACTCCACTCACTGTTGCTAGGCTCCTCAAGATCGTTCGTCAACAAATATTCCACCTCTTGCTGCGTGAGCTTCCTCTTCTCTGGACTAACTCGAAACACGCTCTGCTTAATTGGTTTCCTGCTCCTTACTTCTTCTTCGTGCACCTCGCTCTTATGCCGTTGGGGCACGTCCGTGAAGAGTGACTTGTTCTCCCTCATTAGAGTCATAAGATTGTCTCCTTGTTTCGCATCAAGATGTCGCAGTTTCTTATCGAGGCGCGACAAACTCACAGTGTTGGACAGACAAGTACTGTCAGCACGGGCCCATTTCCCTTCCTTAGTTGGCCACTCCGAGCTCAATTTCATGCACAGAACCACCCTTTCCTCTCCTTTTTCTGGCGTCGTCTTCTTTCCTCCTGCGTCCTCCTGTTCTGTCTGGAAGTACGGATTCAGTCAGTTGACATGACACACCTGTGTCTTCCGTGGGCGATTCGGCTTGCTGGTCTCGTAGTTCACCTTACCCACTCGCTTGACAATCGAGTTGGGACCATCAAAACGCGGTTGCATCACTCTACCCCTTCCGGTTAGCAGCATCATTACCTTGGCTCCTACCTCAAACTCTC